AAGAGGTTAATATACATTTTTAAAATGCCCAATGTGAGTTGGTGTGTGAATTGTATAATTCAGTGTAAAAATGTCCAATAGTCTAAACAAGTGCAGTGCTCTACTCTCAAAATACCTGTATCTTCAAGATTTGTATACAAACTGCAGCTTGAAAATAGACAACTTGTACAGCAAGTTTTCAAGAGAAAACATTACTATGATTTTAATGTAAGAGATTCTGCGTAATGCACGTAGGCTGTATAATAAGCCAGCTTGTCATTTAGTAACAGTTAGTGGATAGATTCCAAATTATATTATATTTTAATACAGGAAACAAAGTACTCAAATTGTAATTATTTAATAGATGTTAAAAGCTTTACCATTTTTAAAATTCAATATAGAAACTACTCAAAGCCCATGTAACTACGAATACCGAACATTGCAAAATAATTAGCTGCATATTTTTTTTGCTGCTTATTAAGATTAGTCTGATGTTGTGGGAGTGCTTTTATAATTGTTTAACAACCACAACCCCTTAGAATGCTCCTGATTGATTCTCTGCATTCTAGAGAATGACTTTCTTTGCACAACATGCCATAGAAGGTAGAGGGTATTTTTTGTCCCGAGATTTACATTCTGTTTATATATCCTATAACCATGTTGCAAAGCACTATAAAAAGTTAAAATGTATCATTCAAGCACTGGAGGCAGTTGATTTACTGTTAGCATAACACACGCAAAAAGGTTTTCTGATATGATTTTTTGTGGTTTTGAAGGTTTAGATGGTTTGTCAAATTGTCCAAAGCTTGTGGGAAATTTTCATTAAAAAAATATTTGTTTTTTAATTGTGCCCCATTCTACCACATTGACCTGTTTAGATTTGCTCATCCAAGTGGAATAAAGTTACCACAAATATACCTGAAATGATGATGATATTCAGAGTATTAAAGCAGTGGGTCATAATGCCTGATTATGAAAAAGAGTAAGGCATCAGAGACATCACTGATGCCTTACTCTCACAGGATACCAAACCATGCCACAATGAAGTGTGTTGGTATCTGGATGGGCTGCATAGTAATTTAAAATATTGTACACTGATTTCAACCACTCTTCCGCTAAACAGTGTTACCGTCTACCTTTTACTTTCTACCTTATGCTTTGTTTTTCTTCTTCTTCTATTCTTCTTGCACCTCCATAGGTTTACCTTCAGAGCATTGGCTTGGTTTAATAAGTTTTCCAAATTGCATTTAAAAAAACCTTCTAAATTATTTATTTATTTTCAAAAATTCCCGTAGACTTTAATGGTGACTTATGTAGATGAATTATTTGGAAATCTGATTAAATTAAGGTTATTATTCATTATCATCACTACTATCGAGGTTCCACTTTTTGATTTTATTCTTTTGTTTTTTTCTTGTATTAATGGATTCCTTCTTATTCAATTTTCTTTCAATAATTTTAAAATAAAACTTATATTCCAGGTTGAAGTTAAGGTTAATAAATAATCAACATTTTCCATAATCAGGCAGGTTGTTTTGTTTTTATAATTTTGTAAACATCAATCTTAAATATTTTTTTTTCCCCAATATTTTTTTTATTTTCAAAGTTGTTTTCAGCAATATGACAATACAGAAAAATAAAAAGATTGTAAGAGTCAAGCATGGACAACCGCATTGCACGGGTTCTGAATGGCTACAAATAAAAACAAAACCCAAAGCATTTCACATTTTAACATGAAAAGGTATACAAGCATGCTCAGGTCAGATATCACGTGTCAGTTATGTAACTGCTCAGAGTCATGAGGAGAAAGAGGAAAAGAGTGAAAATTTCAAGTAGACAGTGCACGGACAGGTCCTTACTGGTAATACAAGTGGAGTTGTTCATGGGTAGGAAGAATGAGGGTACGTGAGAAAATATAGAAGGGAGTAAAAAAAAATAAAGGGGAGCAGACACACACACAACACACTCACTCGCACATATAAGTAAATATTGATATCCCGCTGTTCAGACAAAGCATGGGACTATCTATACTGCCTCCCTTGGTAAACTCATTAGCTCCTTTGGCTTCCAATATAATTTCTATGCGGATGACACGCAAATCTACCTGTCCTCTCCTGATCTCTCCCGTCGCTCTTGACTAGTGTCTCTGACTGCCTCTCTGCTGTTTCTAACTGGATGGCTGCCCACTTACTTAAACTCAACTTGACCAAAACTGAAATTCTAGTCTTTCCTCCCTCAAGTGTTGTTACTCCTGTGTCTGTCTCCCTCTAAGTCATGGGTCCTCAAACTCCGGCCCCCAGATGTTGCTGAACTACAACTCCCTTGATTCTTTGAATTACATAGAGAGCCAGAGAATCATGGGAGTTGTAGTTCAGCAACATCTGGAGGGCCGTTGTTTGAGGACCGATGCTCTAAGTCAACAGTGCTACCATCAGCTCCACCACGAAGGCCTCGCTGCCTAGGTGTTCTCTTTGACTCTGACCTCTCCTTCATGCCTCGTGTTCAGTCTATTGCCAAATCCTGCCGTTCCCATCTCAAAAACATTGCACGTAGCTGACCCTACTTAACGCCAGATGCGACTAAGGTGCTGGTCCATTACATTGTCCTTTCTCGTCTTGACTACTGTAATCCGCTTCTCAGTGGTCTTACATGCTCCCAACTTGCGCCGTTACAGTCCATAATGAATGCGGCGGCGAGGCTCATCTTCCTGTCCGCCAGCACCCCCACGCCTTGTTGGCGCTATATAAATAATAATAATAATAATAATAATAATAATGATTAATTTCACAAAAAATTGATTTATGCAAAGTTAATAGACAGAGTGATGTATTGAAAATCAAGTTCTCTTGTTGGGCAGCACCTTGGTTTATTTAGAGGTACATTCTTATATTATGCATATATAATTGGCACTAATTCATATTTTTGTTGTTAATTATAATGAATAATAATGATTTTTTTATTTATAATAGCCTAAAATTTCAAGATGACTGGGACTTAAACCATATTTGTCTGAGTACGTCTCGTACTTGTTTGTTGCGTAAAGTGTATATAAAAGGATTTAACAAAGGCGTCATGACACTGTTAACCCCTTCAGGACGGGTGACGGACGAGGTCCGTCACACAGGGGAGACCCTTAACGACGGGTGACGGACCTCGTCCGTCACGCGGTAAAATTAACCCCGGATCGCCGCTATCGCGGCGATCGCGGGGTTAATGGTGCTCCCGGTATGCCTCTGCATTGGAGGCATACCGGGAGCACCCGGTCAAGCTGCCCAGCACATGTGCTCGCTCTGACCACAAGTCAGAGCGAGCACATGTGCTCTGTATACTCACCTACCGGCTCCCTGCACTTCCGGGTTCTGTGTGAAGTGCAGGGAGCCGGATCAGTGATGATCCTGCCCCCTGCTGTAAAAATAAATAAAGTTAATTTAAAGTGTCCCCCCCCCCTTACCCATTTTAATAAAAAATTAACCCCTTCCCTGCCAATTGATCACTGACTACAGTGATCAATTGGCAGGGATTACATTTTACTATGATCTGATTTTTTTTTTTAACCCCTGAGGGTTAATTCTTTTTTTTTTTAACCCTCAGGGGTTAAATTAATTAAATTAATTAATTAAATTATTTTTAAATTATATATTTAGATAGCTGGGGTAGGTGGAAGTTAGTGGGGAATTGGGGGATTTGGCGTTAGGCTAACTAGGGGTTAACGTTAAAAAAAGTTTTAAAAGAAACTTTAAAAAGTTAAAAATTAAGCTTAAAAAATGTTTTAATAACATTTAAGTAAAAAAAACAAAAAAACACACTTTACCTAGTCCAAATAAAAATTAACCCCTTCCCTGCCAGTCGATCACTGCCTACAGCGATCAAATAGAGATCACAGTATTATACTGTGATCTAATTTTTTTTAACCCCTGAGGATTAACTTTTATTTATTTTTTTTAACCCTCAGGGGTTCAATTTATTTAATTAATTAATTTAAATATTTTATAACTATATATTTTGCTAGCTGGGGTGGGTGGGAGTTATGGGAAAATGGGGAATTTACTGTTAGTGCTGCGTACTGCTAGTTAGGGGTTAACAGTAAAAAAAATAGCTTAGAAAAATGTTAAATCTGTAAAAAAGTTTTAAGAAAGTTTAGGAAAGTTTAAAAAAAATTTATAAGCAAAACAAAAGTTTAAAAACTAGTTTTTAAAAGTAAAAAGTTATAAAAAGTAAAAAAATACATTTTAAAAACGCTCATTACCACTACACCTGGAACAAACTAGAGAAAAAATTATCCCACGCCAAGGTTCAAAATATGCCTTTTGAATTACCTCAGGGTGTATTCTTTAATAAATAGTATGTGTTTGTGGGGAAGTCTCAATAACCAACCGTCTAAACTATTCCAAATTGGAACATGGACACAGCGTAAAACTTCAAAGTTAGAAAAAACTGAATGGCTGCGTCTCAAATGCGCCCCTTCAACATCCACATATACCTGGCAAAGGTACATACGGGGGTATTGCTGTACTCAGCCGACATAGCTGAGCAACATATGAAGTATTATACAGTCATAGTACACATAAGGTTTGCAAAATATGCTGCGCAAACTCACTTTGTATGTCAAAAAAGCAGAAAAAATGCTTATTACCACTACACTTGGTACAAGCTAGCGGAAAAATGATCCCACACTAAGGTTCAAAATATGCCTTTTGAAATACCCTGGGATGTCTTCTTTAAGAAATGGTATGGCTTTATGGGGAATTTGGATTATATAGCCTGGTAAAATACTCTAAAATGGGACATAGGCACAGCATAAAAATTCAAAGTTTGAAAAAAACTGGAATGGCTGTGTCCCAAATGTGCCCCTCCGATGTCCACACATACCTGGCAAAGGTACATACGGGGGTATTACTGTACTCAGCCGACATAGCTGAGCAACATATGAAGTATTATACAGTCGTAGCACACATAAGGTTTGCAAAATATACTGTGCAAACTCACTTTGTATGTCAAAAGGCAGAAAAAACGCTTATTACCACTACATCTGGTACAAGCTAGCGGAAAAATGATCCCACGCTAAGGTTCAAACTATACCTTTTGAAACACCCTGGGGTGTCTACTTTTAGAAATGGTAGGCCTTTGTGGGGTAGATTGAATTTAAAACCTGCGAAGATGCTTGGAAATTGCACATAGGCCCAGCGTCAAAATTCAAAGTTTGGTAAAAACGGATATGGCTTGGTCTCCTATATGGCACTGTAGCTTCACAAAATAGTGACAAAGACATTCATTGGGGGTATATTTTTACTCAAAAGACTTAGCTGAGCATAATTTGGGAGGTTTGAACTTAGTGGCACATATGAAATATACAAAACGCCCAGCAAAAATGCAATCCGTATGTAAAAAATGCACAAAATAATTTTTTTACCACATACTTTGGCATATATTGGTGAAAAAATGGGGTATGTTAAGGCACAATATGCACCTTATGAGATACCCTGGAGTGTCTACTTTTACAAATGGTAGGCCTTTGTGGGGGTTTTTTGAACAGTCAAACTGTTATAATACCCCAAATGGAAGCTAAGGCTCATTAAATCCGTCTCTCAAAATTCTACTGTGAATACTGTAAAGGACAGGTCTCCTATATGGCACTGTAGCTTCACGAAATAGTGCCAAAGACATTCATATGGGGTGTCATTTTACTCAGAAGACTTAGCTGAGCATAATTTGGGGGGTTTGAACTTAGTGGCACATATGAAATATACAAAACGCCCAGCAAAAATGCAATCCGTATGTAAAAAATGCACAAAATTATTTTTTACCACATACTTTGGCATATATTGGTGAAAAAATGGGGGCATGTTAAGGCACAATATGCACCTTATAAGATACCCTGGAGTGTCTACTTTTACAAATGGTAGGCCTTTGTGGGGGTTTTTTGAACAGTCAAACTGTTATAATACCCCAAATGGAAGCTAAGGCTCATTAAATTCATCTCTCAAAATTCTACTGTGAATACTGAAAAGGACAGGTATCCTGTATGGCACTGTAACTTCACGAAATAGTGCAAAAGACATACAATGGGGGTGTCATTTTACTCAGCAGATGTAACTGAACACAAAATAAAACTTTGTACAGGAATAGCACACACCAACTTTACAAAATATACACGAGAATTTCTCTGTTATAAGTTTGTGTGCCAAAAACCAAAAAGAACACAATTTTACTCCAATATTTAGCAGAGGTTGGCGGTAATATGGCTACGTAGAAAGTGTCAAAACAACCTTAGGTAAATAGCCCGTGATGTCTACTTTATATAAATATATACTTTTGTGTGGCAATTTTGTTTTCTTTTATGGCTATTAAGCTTACAAGACAAACATACCAAATTCTAAAATCGCTCCACATTAAAAGTTTATTTTACTCCTTGTGCTTTGTGACCTGTAACTACCAAAAAAAAAAATCCCAGACACATTATATATTCTGTAAATCAGAACAAATAAATAAATTTATTTTTAATTACTTTCCTTAACCTGCACTAATTATGCACACATTATTATTGCAAAAACTGTAAAAAAAAACAATATTTTTCATTTTTTTTGCATTTTTCTGTATTTTTTTTATAATAAGTAAGCATTTATATATATATATGTTATATCAAATTAAAGCCCTTTCTGTCCTTTAAAAAACAGTATATAATATGTGTCGGTGCAATAAATGAGAGAGATGCAAATTGCAGTTGAACGCAAACAGCAAGAAAATGCAAAAATTGCTTGTGTCATTAAGCGTAAGTCAAGCTTCTGAAGCTGTGTCCTTAAGGGGTTAAGAAGAGCTACTACTTTATTATGGTCAGGGGAGGAACTATCAACTGGTCGCACATATATAAAAATAGCACTTCCATAGGCCAAAGAGATTACAATGAAGTGAGAAGTACAGGTGGAGAAAGCTTTCTTTCTACCACTGGATGATGGTATTCTCAAAATGGTGAATATGATCTTGCAATAGGAAACTAATGTTATAGTCAAGGAACTCATAATTGCCGCGGATGCAAAGTTAGAAAAAAACAAATCAAATGCTTGGATTTCAGAGCAATTAATCTTCACTATAGCAGAGCTGTCACAAAAAAAATGATTTATTTCATATGGTCCACAGAAGGACATCTCTCCCATCAAGACAGTAGGATAAATAAAAGTAAAGAATCCACCAATCCAAGATATTAGCACTGCACAATAACAGGTCTTACTGGTGACGATGGAGTGATACATTAATGGATGGCAAATAGCCAAATATCTATCCACAGACATGACAGCCAGAAGATAAAACTCAATGGCACCAAGAGACACGTACATATAGAATTGCAGGAAGCATACAGGCAGGGAAATAGCTTTGTTGTCAATGGCTAAGATAATGAGGAGTTTGGGAACAGTGGAGGATATGTACCAAATATCCAAGAAAGCCAAGCTGCATAAAAAGTAATACATTGGAGTATGCAGGTGTTGTCCGAGCCAAACGGCAGCAATGATGAACATGTTACCTATTAATGACAGACAATAAAGAAGTAGAAAAATCATGAAAATGCCTTTTTGCATCAAAGGTCCAAGTGTGAATCCAACAAGAAAAAACACTGTACTGTTTTGAGTTGTCATCATAAGGCAGATCTCTAAAGTTGGAATTCATGAAGTTGACTGGTAGAAAAAAAGGAGGAGATTAGAGAAGCAAAACATTCCAGGCAGTACAGTAAATCTCATAAATGGACTTTGTCATACTTAACATGTATTAATGTTTAATCATATCTGCTTAAAATGTTATATACTGCTGCAACAACAAAAACAAACAAACAGAAAATGCATAGTCAAGCTAGCATATAACATAGTATATATAAATAAAATGAAATAATTGACACAATAACAAATTCCAGTGTCCTGTTTTATTGAGTGTCTGTCTTTGCCTCATCCAGCATCTTCCGATAAATGTTCCAAAATGCTTTTCTTTTGGTAGATTGCACTGGCACTACCTTAAGGCATCACAGACTGCTGCCTTGAGGCACACTATCATGGAGGCTTATTGTCTGCAGATTGTACTGGCCCCCCTCCGCCCCATGGCATACTAAGCAAGGGATGTCAGGCTCAGGTGACAAACAGGAGGACAACAATGCCACAGTACAATAGAGAGTTGGAGCTTGTAAGGTATGTTGAGGAAGAGACACAAATGAGACACAGAAAGGAGGAGAAGGGACAGAAAAAACAACAAGGGGGTCAAAAACACAAATGGATGAAGAGATACAAAAAGGGAGTAAGACACACAAAAAGTGCAAAAGGATGGATAAAGAGGAGCAAAAGGGGTGTCAAATGACACAAAGGCCTACACAGGCTGATGCATCTATGTAACCAAAAATAATTCAGTCAGTCCTGCTTTGGAGATATTATAGACATCAATGGATGGCATTTGCATGCATTTACACATTAAATTGAAATATGCTTAAAAGTCTAATATTATTAAAATGTATTTGGAAATCCAGATGACAAGTTCAGTACAGTATTAAAGGGGACTCAGAAATGGTTTGTTAAGACCACTGGATCATACTATTACTCTACATATACATGGACAAAATATTGGAATATTCATATCACAGCCACTGTCCACAAATGTAACTCCCACTTCTCAGGCAGACTGAAGCATGTAGATTAGAGGTTAAAGAACCAACACTCCATTATGCAGTCAAACTATGCATTACTCAATGGCCCCCAAAAGCATTTAAAGCAACCTACAATATGCTGGTGATGAATCGCTACTTGTTACCACCTCTGTGTATCTGGAACCTGAAGGAAGACCTCCAACAGATGTTTATGCAGGTGGAATGGGGCAAGATGCTTGTTTTCATTCCAAAAATGCTGGTGTCGGCATGTGTGCATGAAAATTCATATAAACTCCTCACAACATGGTATTTGATCCCAACTGCTCTTCACAGACGTGACACAACTGTGCCGGATCTTTGCTGGTGCTGTAGGAAAGAATGGGGAGAGCCCATTTATATCTGGTGGTCATGTAGATTAATCAGACCGTTCTGGGAAGTGGTTGGCAAAATGATAGGGAAATTATTGGAGGTACCTCCACCTATGGAACCAGCAACTTATTTGCTACACCATACTACAATTGCTGTGCAGGGCTACAAACGCTCTGAGACACCATGACTTCTGAACGTGGCTAAGTTGGTAATCCCAATTTTCTGGTGGCATGCATGTGTATCCCTGCTGAGACAGTGGGTTGAATAGGTTGATGACACCAGAAAATTTGAGGATCTGAAAGCAACCTCTGTCTGAGACAATGGGAGATATATCCTGTGGTGCTACTACTGGCTAGGATTATTGTCTTCGGTCAATTCCACTAGATTCCTGACTGATTAACTTATAGGCGACACCTCCACCCAAGCCTCCTACCCCAGCTGGTTCTCCCCTTACTTCCTTTTTTTTCTCGCTCCTCTTCTCTCTTTGCATTTATTACCTTCTGCCTTGTCCTCACCTCGTTCTCCCTTCTGAAACTTGAATTCTGACATGATTTGATGCCAAGTTAGCACATCCCTCATCTAGAGTTTTCAGAAGGTGGAGGTGGTCAGGATGAAAGGGGAATCAATGGAATTGTGAGTAACGCTACATGTCTGATTATTCCCTAATTTGTATGTGTTTAATGCTAAATGTTTAATATGGTGTTTTATATACCCTTTACAGCTCACCAATGCTGTGCTATTTTACATCAATTTCCTGTTATTACAAAATTGTATTGCCATACATGCCATACATGGAAACCATGTGTTGTATGCAATTGTTGTATCAATAAAAGCCTATTTAATACAAATTATTGCACTACGGGGAATAATGCTTGGATGATGACACCTGTCTTGCTTTATAGAATTTGCCCCAGATTTTCTCTTATGGAAGGACTAACAAAGAGTGGCATGTACTAACCAGTTTTTATTTTGAAAACAATCCAAAAAATATTTTTATACAAGCAAAGTTATTGGAGAAAATATGTTAAATTCCATTGTTGATTCCTGGCAACACATATATTAGTGAATAATTCTAGTTGCAAAAAAAATAAATAATAATAATAATTTGAAATGTCCTTTTAAATTTTTACTAACCCCTTTACCACCAAGCACTTGTTAAAGAAAAAAAAAACCTCAAGAGTATTTTGAGTGTCCTGAAAAGTAATGTTTATATGTTTTTTGTTTTGTTTACCAAATAATGAAGATAAGAAAATAAGTGTTGCAAATAAATAACAAATCTGAATATGCAGCATTAAAATTTCCCCACATACTCTATATTTATTTCACATATACATCATCCCATATGTAATCATATCTAGGTATCATATATTAGCAAAACGCCTGGTTATAGGACTGAAACATTGACCAGATTGTTTACCGTATTTTTCGCTCCATAAGACGCACTTTTTTCCCCCTCAAAAGTGAGGGGAAATGTCTGTGCGTCTAATGGAGCGAATGTGAAGATTTACTTACCTGTCTTGGAGCGTGGGCCGGCTTCACAGCGCGCTCCGCCGTCCAGGAACTTCTATTTCAGGTTCCGGTTTCCGGCGGGACTGAAAGGAAGTGCACACTCAGTGTGCACACTTCCTTTTAGTCCCGCCGGAAACCGGAACCTGAAATAGAAGTTCCTGGACCGCGGAGCGCGCTGTGAAGCCGGCCCACGCTCCAAGACAGGTAAGTAATTATGGGACAAGGGGAGGGGAGGAGACACTATGGGACAAGGGGAGGGGAGACACTATGGGAGAAAGGGAGGGGAGACACTATGGGAGAAGGGGAGGGGAGGAGACACTATGGGACAAGGGGAGGGGAGGAGACACTATGGGACAAGGGGAGGGGAGGAGACACTATGGGAAAAGGGGAGGGGGACACTATGGGAGAAAGGGAGGAGAGACACTATGGGACAAGGGGAGGGGGGACACTATGGGACAAGGGGAGGGGGAGACACTATGGGACAAGGGCAGGGGGGGACACTATGGGAGGGAAAGTGCACTATGGGACAATGGGAGGGGAGGACACTATGGGATCAGAACACTAATGGACAAGGGGAGGAGGGGTTAAAGAACACTATGGGACAGGGTAGGAGGGGTTAACAATCACTATGGGACAGAGGAAAGGGGGTTAAAGATCATTATGGGACAGGGGAGAAAAAAAAATATTCTGAACAAACTGTCCCATAGTAAGAAACACTATGGAACAGTTTGTTCAGAATATTTATTTTTCTGGGTTTCCTCCTCTAAAAACTAGGTGCGTCTTATGGTGAGGTGCGTCTTATGGAGCGAAAAATACGGTATATGTGATATGTGTCCTTTTTTAAACTAATAAGTTATATGGTTGGCACCGGGGCATTAAGAGCAGAACGGTGAGTGTGGGGTCAGCGAGAATGTTTTATATATATATATATATATATATATATATATATATTTCCCCCTTGTATATTGTATACATTGAGCAGATTGCAACCATTTTCCACTTTGGTCACACGCACGCATATACACAAACTGATCAACGGACACATATACACTGCCCCACACACTTTGATAGATGCACAAACACACATATATACTGATACATACAAAGACTGAAAGACTGATGCAAGTAAACATACATTGACACACAGAGACAGACATTGATAACAGATACACACATACTTACCTGACAGATACAGACACACTGTCACAGTGTGTGTATGGTCGTGTGTATCTGTTCATATGTATTGCTGGCTAAGTGTTTGTCTTGAATTGTGAATCTGTGTATGTGCCTGAGACTGTGTGGCATTGGCATTGAATATCATTTTATGTGTATGTGTCTGGGAGTGTATATCAGTGTATGTCTATCAGTATTATTATCAGCATTTATATAACACCAACATATTATAGAAAGTGCTAAATATAAAGCACGTTGCAATTATAGAAAGTGGGTATTTAGAGGTTTAGAAGCTCAGACAAGCTTACAATCTCTAAGGATGTGAGGTAGGTGGATACTAATCATTTTCAGTTGTGTCCAAAGACAGATGTCTGTAAATGTATCTTTGAGGGTATATGTGTGGGGGAACTGCTTGCAGTGTGTTGTGTTTGTTTAGCAGGATAGCTTGTAGTTTGATTTGGATGTTGTGTTTATAATGAGTTTGTATGGTGTGTTTGACTATATTTCTATGAGTATCATTGTGTGGGTGTGACTGTGTTTGTGGGGGTGACTGTGAGGATGACTGCGGAAGTAACTGATGTGGGTCACTGTGAGAATGGCTGAGAGGGCGCCTGTGTGTAGGGTGTCTATATTTACTTGTCCTAATAATCTTTGACCTTGGGGAGGAATTGAAAAGGAAATTCACTTGCACCAAATAATTTATTTTGCAATTGTTAAAATCGTGAACGTTTTCCTAACAGATTGTAATCATTTAAAAAGCTTATCTAAAAATATCAAATCAAGGCCAATGTGTTTATGCTCCCGACAGCTTGCAAAGTACCCCGAAAGCAGTGTGTTCTAAACTATTCTTATCAAATACTTATTTTCATATGAGAAATGTAAATTCCCCTGAATTTATATCAATAGCTTTAAATTTGTTTTTCTCTTATGCTGTTATTGATTAATGTTGGATTTAAATATTTCTGATCAGGCTAGTTTTTGTGAATGAAAGGTTGAATAAAAACAAATATAATTGTGCAAATATTTAAGCTTGTCATTCAATCCTTTGCTACTTTTGCTAAAAGTAAGCATAGTAAGTTTATTTTGGACAGTTTGTCGGAATTAAATGCTTTTTGAGCCAGACACATATTAATCATCTGGGACTTACCTGTGGACTAGATTAAAATGTAATCTGTGTATTATTTAGTGCAGTATATGTCTCTGAATGTGTCTTAATCACAGAATATCCTATCAGTGCAACAGCATAACATTATCTTCTTCTATTTTATAATATATCTTATATAAATAAAGTGCTTGTGGTATATTTTTGTATACTTGATGTTTTTTTGGTTTTTTTTGCAGTCGTACAAGATACTGAACTTAGTGGCTTTTAGAACAGTTTTGACAATAAGTCACAGCAAAACGTAGCAACATACAACTTCCTGATTTTACAATTCTAATCATTTGTGGCAAACAGTGTTTCAGTGCCCAGCTATTTACATGTTGTGTAGCAGGTCATAGTACTGATAAAGGAGCTTTCTATTCCCTCCTGTGCTATAGAGTGTGAATTATCGTTTGTTCCTTGCTAGTTTGCTATAGCCTGTATTGCGAGATTGAGGAACATCAGGTTGGTTAGTTATCTTTCCGCCCAGACTCTGTTCAGCCTCAGTATGTGTTATTCTACAAGGGGATTTCCCCCGTTACCATTTGGTTCTCGGGGTCCGTAGACATGTGCTAAAGCATCCCTCAGTATAATTTCTGTTGTCCTAGGAATAGTCCCTGGTCCAGGAATAGGGGCTAGCAGTGCCTCATAGTTGTGGCTAGCTGTTCATGCCCTCTATCCCAGGTGTACCGTCCTTCCCTTATGTGTCATGTCTGTAGCTTTGATAGATTCCGTGTCGGTTGTGGTGACAGTAGGACCCGTTGTGCCTCTCCTCAATAGCCTGTGGGTATCCGTTGTTGTGTTTGTGTGTTTAGGACCAACCACTTGATTATCTGTTTTGCGGTTCGGAGGCCCTTGGGCGTTCCCTTAGAAGGTGCGCAGGCTCAGGTTATATCTGTTGGCATGGGGAAAAGGGGGGCCAGTGCTTGGGGATTCCCATGTTTGGCTTAGTATTGAGGTCCTGTCCACTCGGGCCAACAAATATGGGGGAGAGAAGAAAAGAAATGAGAGAGAAAAAAGGGGGGGGAGGTAAAGGTGGGGGGAAGCTCGACTGAAGTTGGGAGAGGGTCGGAGAGGGTGGTATGGAAAGGGTGAGCCGACGTCTCCCCCGCCTTAGGCCCGCCGCGCACCCCCCCTGTTCCATGTTTCTCCTCCGCTGTCTCATCCCTCTTTCGCTTCAGGGGGCGTCCCGTGTCCCCTCCACCTCAGGTTATACAAGGGGGTTGATAGTCTTATGTCCTTCTGTGTGATATGAAATCCATCCATGGGGTCCAAGTCTGTATGTATCTGTCTACTGTTCCCCTCAGGGATGCTATGAGGGTCTCCATCCCGTGGATTTCCTCCACCTTGTCCATCCATTGTTGGATGGTGGGTGTCTGCACGGACTGCCAGTTGGTGGGATAAGTAGTTTGGCTGCGTTTAGGAGGTGTTTTGTGAGTGACTTTTTATATCTAGATATGGGCATCTCTGTGTGATGGAGGAGCATCTGGAGTGGTTGAAGTTGGAGATCTGTATCTAGTATGTTCTTCATCTGGGTATGGACTGGGTTCCAGAATGGAACTATCTTTCTACATGTCCACCATACATGTATGTCCGATCCTGTCTCTTCTCCACATCTCCAGCAGGTGCTGGGTGCATCCGTGATCATTCTGTGTATCCTCTCGGGTGTCCTGTACCACCCGGTCAGCAGCTTGTAATTGAGTTCCTGGTGTTTGGAGCTCATTGAGCTTTGGTGTGTCAGTATGTGGATTTTCATCCACTGTGGCTCCGTGAGTGAGACGCCGGTGGCTTCTTCCCATCTTGCCATATATCTTGCTGGCCTGGGTCGGGCTGTAGCTTGGAGTAGCGCGTAGGTCATAGAGATGCCTCTGGCTATGTGTGTTCTGACTCTGCCTAATTCCTAAAACTGTGTTAGCGTCCTGTGGAACAGGTGCCTACCATTTTGGGACATGTAGTATGCTTTGATCTGGAGGTAACGGAGTCTTTCCAGGCCCGTCGTGGTTCTGTCCGATATAAGTTCTGGTAGCGGTTTCAGCGCATCCACTGTGCACTACTGTTGCATGTGTGGCTGGTCCGACGCCCCAAACGTCCTGATGTCCTGCGGCGTGAGTTCCAATGCCACTTCGGGGTTAATTGGAGTCAGCGGTCCTGGTGTCGTGGTTAAGGAGAGTTTGGAGCTGATGAGGCGCCAGATCTTCAACGTTGCCCCAATGAATGGGTGAGTCCAGGTACGTGGGTTCCTCGTGTGGCCGCTCAACCATGCCACCACTGGTAGTGTTCCCTCTGCCTGAGCTCACTCCATATGTACCCATTTCTTGCTAGTCTTCGGGACGTGCCAGTCTACTATGCGGTGCAAGTGCGTAGCTCTATAATAGGTAAGTAGAGAGGGCCTTTGGTTGGTGCAATTGCGTTCTCTTAATTCTAGGGGCTCTGGACTGCCATATAAAACCTGAGATGGCGGAATCCATGTGTCGGAAGAATGTTGAAGGTATACTTATCGGGATGGTTTACTTATCGTACAGCAGGCGAGGTAGTAGGTTCATCTTAATTGCGTTCATCCTTCCAAACCATGATACGCATAGACTAGACCATCGTGTCTTTTTTCAGCGTGAGCATCATTGGGGCGAAGTTGTGGGCATAGAGTTGCGACAGGTCCGCGGTAAGCCAGATCCCAAGGTATTTGAGATTTGTTCGGCACCAGGTGAATGTGAACTGGGATCTCAGATGAGCAACACTCGTTTCCGCCATTGATATGGGCATGGCTTCCGAATTTTCTGTGTTCAGTTTCATGTTTGATATCCGCCCGTATTCTGCAAAGGCTCTCAGTAAGTTCGGCACGGAGACCAGGGGGGTGCTGACGAAGAATAGCATATCATCCGCATATGTGGCCACCTTGTGAATCGTTCCCTGCAGTGCAAACCCCTCTATTCCCCCATCCCATCTGACCGCCCCCAGGAATGGTTCCAGAGAGAGGGCAAACAGGGGGGGAGAGCGGTCAGCCCTGTCTCGTTCCGTTATGTATGTTATGTATGTGGATTGGCGTGAAGAGGGCCCCATTAACCCGTATTATAGCTGTTGGAATCGTTTATAGTGAAGATATCCAGGTCCTCATTTGGGAACCGAAGCCCATCACCTGTAGCGTTGCCATCAGGTATCACCAGTCCACCCGATCAAAAGCTTTTTCTGCGTCGGTGGAGAGCAAAATGAGCTTCTGGGCCAAACTTCTGGCTGCATGAATGACATTAAGGGCACGGATGGTGTTGTCTCTCGCTTCCCGTCCTGGGATGAAGCCCACTTGATCCGAATCCATCAGTTCCGGGAGAACACCACCGATACGGGTGGCCAGAACCTTCGTGAAAAGCTTTAGATCTGCATTTAGTAGCGATATCGGTCTATAGCTGGCGCAGTTGGTCGGGTATTTGCCTTCATTTGGGAGAACTGCTATCGCCGCCATAAGAGAATCTCTTGGGAACGCTCCACCTTTTAGGATGGAGTTTAAGCCTGTTAGCAGTTTGGAGAGCAGCACATCTCTGAATTCCTTGATGTATTTGATGGGCAGCCCGTCTGGGCCAGGAGCTTTATTGAGCCTGGAGCCCTTCAGAAGTTCTTCTATCTAATTCCGCTGCCGTGTCTTGGCTCAAGGTTTTGGTGACGTGTTCTTGTAGGTATTCCATGATTCATCGTTCTCTGCGTTGGGTTGAGTCAGGGGAGGTCTCTGTGGTCAGGTTGTATAGGGTGTGGTAGTATTCCCAGAATAATTCAGTAATTTTGTCCGGAAGTTGGGTTATTGTCTGTTCTTTAGTTTTAAGCTTGGATATGTGGCACATACGTCACTTCTTTTGAAGCATCCGGGCCAGGAGGCGGCCGCATTTATACGAGTATTCGTATAAAAATCGGTGAGACTTTCGTATAGTATGTTGTAATTTCTGGAGAGCCTTCCTAACTTCCAGTAGAGTCATGTAGTCTTCGTCCGATGACGTGGACTTATGAGCCGTCTCTAGTTCCGAGATCCGTTGGGTGACCTCCTCCATGCGCTGTCGTTGTTCCTTCTTACTTTGGGTACACATTTTGATGAGATGCCCCCACACTACGCACTACGCACTTGTGTGCTTCCCAAAGTGTTAGGGTCGGCATGTCCTGGTCCTCGTTTTCTTTAAAAAATGCGGTCAGTGCCGAATGGATCTCCGCGGCAGCAGTGGCGTCTGCTAGGACCGATTCGTTCATCCTCCAGTGGCGTTCCCTGGGTTGATGCAGAGGGGACTCTATACTCATCAGTAAGGGGTACTGGTCAGACCATCCAAGCGGTCGAATCTCGATTGACTCGAGCAGGGACAAGTGCTCCTGAGCCATGAGGATATAATCCAGTCTGCTGTATCGTTTGTGGACTGTGGAGTAGTAGGTATAGTCCCTTTCACATGCAGTGCTCTCCAACAGTCCACCAGGCCTGCCCCATGTAGGGTCTCTTTGATGTCTTGGAGGCTATGTCGTGGGAAAGAGCTGACTCCCCTGGAGGTATCCACCCTTCGGCTCGAGCACTACATTCAGGTCTCCTGCTATCAGTAGTAAGCCCTCTTGGAATTGTTCGAGCTTATTCAGCATTTTTTTGTGAAATCTATGCTGCCGGGTGTTAGGAGCATATATGCTTGCTAGTGTATATGCGTTGCCTGCTATGGTGCCTTTAAGAAAGAGAAAACTTCCCATGGTGTCGGCCAACTTTCCTGTGCACTCGAACGGTACTGTGTTCGCTAGCAGTATTGCGATTCCGGCTCTTTTGGCAGTCTGGTGGTTTGCGAAGAATCCAGGGGGGTATCTCGAATCTCTCAGCGGTGGGCTCGTGTCCCCCCGAAAATGGGTTTCCTGCAGGAATGCGAAGGACACCCTCTCTGCCCATAGGGTGTGCAGCAGGTGAGACCTCCGCTCGGGCGAGTTGAGGCCTCGTACATTGTTCGACCAGAGCCGGAGAGGCGCTGGGGAATATCCAGAGCCCATTACTGGCAGCGGGGGAAGGGGGTGGGGTAAGGGCGGTTGTTCCGGGGAGAGGGTCAGAGGCTCTGAGCTCTCTGTTTGGAAGGAGCAAGGGTCAGACGCGCGGGGGTGGGGGAGGTGAGGTGGCAGAGGCTGGGTAGTGAGGATTCAGAGGGGGGTAAAAGTCCCTGAATATAGGGACTCCTCTTATGGGGTCCTCTATGACTTGACACCTGTGGCGGAGGCACTGTGCGGTACACCCTGTGAAGAGTTAAACACCCGCCCCCTCACCAGTTCAGTATAAGCGTCCGTCAGGGGGTGCCTGACCCAGACTGCACCTGCACAGGACCAGGCGCAGAGATTGTGTGTAGATCTCAGGTGGGTTTTATGGTCCCTAGTCAGAGTGTGTATGTATCTTAGAAGTATGTGAGTGAAATTTATGTTCCACGTCCCTCCCCCCCAGGCCGCGGTGGCTAGTGTGATACTGGAGGCAAAGGGTGTCCTGGAACTGCGTAGTAGGCTGTAGTGTCAGTTTTAGGGTTCCGTCTGTCATCGGCTGAGAGGGAGCCTCTCAGCTCCGCCGGCGTTGTGATGTAATCATCCATCGGGCCCGTATTCCTCCGCGGGGAGTTTGTTGGCTGCATCCCCGATACTGATATCTTCTTGTTCCCGACCATTCTCCTCCGTGTATGGGCTGTATATTGCTAGAGTTCTCGGCCTGGGGTGTGGAGCTCATTTACTGTGCGTCCTGTACCATGCTCGTCCAGGCCACACCCCCCCATGTATACTTGATGTTTATTCCTCTGACAAAGACAGTTGCCATGATGGTTGCTACAATAATTGAAAAAAGAAAAAAAGAAAACAAAAAAAAAAACAAGAAAATGTTTAACATTTTGTTTTGCTGCCATGTCAACCAAAGTAAATATATTTTGTTGCCCTGTTTCCCTGTTGAGGGTTGGTCAATTGGCAAAAAAGGGGGGAGCCGGATGCACTCTAACATAGCATAATAGACAGACAGACAGATAGAGTCATAGTCATGTTACTGCTGTGAATACTTGTTTGTATCTGATTTGTCTATTCTTCTTTTAAGTAAATAATTGACACAGGTAATCATGTATTCATAAAGTGAAAATATATAATTTAACCACGTTAATACAAACATTTTTCATTTTTAGTTTTGTTTTTTACTTTCATTTGTTTTGCACCATGACAATTAGTCATTAACACCCCTTTACCTTCATGCATATAATGGATATCTTCAGGAAAGATTAACAGCTTGTAGAGTTATAAATTTCTTTAACAGGAGTTATTTCAACCAATTTAATGTATGCAAATATTGTGAAAATTACAAACATCCTCCAACAATAATGGAAATTCCAGCAATCCTACCATTACCATAGGGGGAGGAATAAATGATAATGCTCAAAAATCTGCTATACATTAGTTTTGCTAGAAAAACTTTTTATTTAAATATATTTTTTTTGAGAGCTACATAAATTAAGCCCATCAAGTCATTATGTCTTACTATGCCGTCCTGCACAATGTAGGCTTAAACACCATTAGGGCGGCATACTTACCTATGGAGGCAATCCTCTTTGGGGGTATTGTCTGACAACCCAGGCAGTCCCTGTGCAAGCAATACAGCCCATGTGATCACGATGACTTCACAATCATATGATCGTAATAGCAGTGTGAATCACTGCCTAAATTCTAATTGTGTATTTATCATTTTAGTCTAAGTAATATTTTACATTGTATGTATATATATAAAATTCGAAGGAAGGAGGGTGCACTCTCCAGATCTTTTTAATGTAATTTATTAAATAATTATATAAATTCTGTCCCGATCGTTCCCGATCCCGTGTTTGGTTACGAAGTGAATAAAGAACTGATCGATTATTTCTTACGGTGGATTACTAAAAATGTATTCTAGTAGCTATTTACCATATTGTCTATTAGGGATTGCCAAGGACAGAATGTGAGTGCAAAGTGAAACTATACATATCAATGTGAAGTAAATAAAACACAAAACTGTGAGAGAAATGCCTGAGAGTTATAGGGGTGAAAGAAAAAATGGTCCCTAGATCCCTACCATAATAGAGCTATACAATATAAACAAAAACAATTAATAAATACATTATAAGTCTATCTGAATTTCACAATACTATTTGGCAGATCGGGAAATAGAATATAAATAATATAACTATGTTGGTATTTGATTACAATAGAGATTATAATAAGGTCAAATCTATTGTTAAGAAGCAGTGGCATATTTTAAAAAAAGATAATGAACTCTGTAAACTTCTTCCGGATAAACCTTTTATTACTTTTAGAGGAGCGCCACATTTTAAACAGATGTTAAGTTTTAACCACCCTAAAAGAGAAGTAAAGAAAACTTTTGTAAATGAGAAAAAGGTTTTTTTTCATGTGGTTTATGTATGGGCTGCAAATGTAGTAAAAATAGAAATCTTAAAGGTGTAAGTAAATTTAAGACTAAATATAAAAGTGAGGATTTTATTATAACAAGTCCTGGCGAGGAGGGAAGCATGTCAACGAGATTGGAAGGGAAGAGATGAGATGGGTTTACAACCTAGAAACTCTGGAGCCAAGAGGACTCAATATAGAATTTGATCTTTTTTTAATTTTTTATAAGACATGCGTTTTATGGCATTTTTATAATTTTATAGTAATCATGGTTTTTATTTTTTCCCCTGAGCAGGATATAGATTCTTATGTTTTTTCCCATTTTTAATTGGGTGTATCTTTTTTCCAGAATGTCTGTAATGTATTGTGGAATTTTAAGCAACTTTTGAATGAATATATATATTTATAATGCTCTCCTTTATGTAGTTGTTATGGTCTTTTTAATGAGGATTACTTTACCTTTATTGTACCTTAATGTTTGTCTTTTTCTCCCATTTTGAATTAAGTATATCCCTTTCTAGAATGTCTATAATGTATTGTGTAATTTTAAGCCATTTTTAAATGAATACACATATTTATTATGCTCTCTGTAATGTAGTTGTTATTGTCTTTTTAATGAGGATTACTGTACCTTTAAATGTAGGTGCTGCTGTACTAGGATAGCACTTTGTATATATTTTTTAGCTAATTTTATAAAGAAAATCCATAATGGTATGGCCATATGGATGTGAGGAGTAGCCCAGAAAGGTATTTAAATACATTAGATGAATACAAGTTAGTTTTGTAATGTCCTTCGTTTATATGCAAATAGCTTGTGAATTAAGCCAATAAGGAGCCACCTGTATATCACACCACGCCCTCGGGGGTGGTATAAAAGACTGTTATGGAAGATGGGAATCAGATCTGAAGAAGCCGCCCCCTCGGCTAAACGTGTCATCTGACTCGCTACGTGACATCATCACGCACGTCCCGCCTCCTGGAAGTATCCTGTGGACATTGCCAAACTTGAGCGTGCACGGACTGTTTGTTTTAACCGGCGGCTGCACGAACTCATACAAGGACAGTTCAAACAAGGATCCGGTGATTTTTAATGTTTGCTGTTTTGTGATTGTGGAATAAATTGTTTTACCTTATTGGCTGCAGAGGACATTATTACATATTGAGACTGTTTGAAGTAGAGCAGGCGCATCTGCTCTCTGCTTGTGAGTGAACAATTTTAAACACACTTCAAATTATTTTCATCTAAAGCAATACTTCACTATATATATATTTTGTATTCTATTTTTCTATGTATTACCATTTGGAATTGAGGTTCGCTTCAGATATGTGATTAGAGTAAGTAAACTTTATCTTATTTATGTGCACAGGATCACTTTAAGTGGTTTTTGCATTTTGCACTTTTTTACACCATTAGTGTAAATGCACATTGTACTTTTTAAAGAGTAAATACGTTTTTGCACTACTCTCACTTTGTTTATATATTGAGAAAATTGGCACTTTATATTTTTTTCTGTTTGGTTTGTAGGTCTGTGTTTTATGAGCTAATACACTGATAGGTGCTATTGTGTATAATTAGGTCACTATTATTGCAATTAGCGCCACATTCACTTGTTATTTGTATTTCTATCTATGTTGCATATTCGTATAATTAAACATAGTATGGAAAACTAGCTGAAACATAATCTATACGCTGATCTCCATGAATCCATATCGTTTGAATTCTATGCTTAAAAAACATATTTTTAGATTAATTTACTTAGAAGTTATATATAATGAAAAATTGCTATAGATATAGATAGATAACTGAATGCAAATATCTAAATAATGGAGACAACATAGAAAAGTATACATTAATGATTAAGGACTATGATCCTGAATTTTGCAGAAAATAGATGAACATAGCTAACAAGTGTTCCCTAGACTGGATGGTCATAGTAGTGGAGGAAGTTGGTAAAGAACTCCTCATGGTCAAACAATCACTCCAAGAATTTGAGGTATAGAATGTGTTCACTTTACAATCATCCACAGCAACAGAGCAAATGTTAAAGCAACAAGATGATATCAACAGATATAAAAATGATTTAATCCAATTTAAAAAACAGAAATTAGACAAGGTCAATCATGACTATCAGTATCACCAAGTATACAGATGGCTTAGTGGTACACAATTATCAAACAGAGATATGATTCTGAGATATAAATACCACATACGAAAGCCTACATTCCACACAGTGGAGTAAGTTCTGGAGAATCTGCATCTGATGCAGAAGGGAGAGAGGATACTACCAAAACACAACTTAGTTCTTTTTTAGTACAAAGTTCAGATCCACACGAATCATCGGGAACCTCAAAGAAGGAATACAGAAGAACGCAATCCCTAGGAGGGGACAGATGGGACACAAAAAATACAGGGAAGATGGAAAAATCCACCCTTCTTACGGGGGGAACAATGGCCTTTAATCTATCAGATAAAGAATTAACTCAAGCACATTATGCTGTTTTAATGAACGTACTTACATCTGTCCAAGTTACCAGACCAGATCCCTTCCAAACTGACATAGAATTGTTCAAACTGCAAAGAACCTGGAATAGTAATGAGACAGAAAAAGAATATACAGATACACATAAAGCTCCTTTCTATACCAGATACAAAAAAGATATCAAGACTACAAATCATTCAATCAAGACATTCATGCAGGCAGTAAAACAAGAGACAGAGATTACTGTCAAAAATCCACCTGATCATAGACAGAAACGCACCACAATAGAAAAAGCAGCACTAAATTACCTCAAAAAAGACCCTCAAATTATTATTTGTCCTGCAGAAAAGGGTGGAGGTATTGTCATAATGGCTTATGATAAATATTGTGAGGAAATTCTTTGACAATTAACTGACACAATAACCAGATTACATTGGGAGTTCAATTAGGATACTTAGACAACAAAACTTCAAAATATCTATATATGGAACACCCAAAACATCCGGTATTATATACAATACCAAAGATGCAGAAAACCCTCCTGGGAGACTGATTGTCTCTGGAAGAGACAGCCTAATTGAACCAATAGTGAGATACATTGATTTCTATATCAAAGATTCTGTTCTGGATCTTCCAACATGCCTTTGAGATACTAGTGATTTTTTTAATAAAATCAATCAAGTATGGATACAAGATAAAGAGATCACCTTGGCGACATTAGATGTACAAAGCCTGTACACTATCATACCCCATGGCCAGGGTAAACAGGCACTATGGGAAATTCTAAGTTAATCTTAAGGCATACATAGCGATCCATCCCACTGTTACAAGAAACCAATGGAACAAAAAAAAGGATGTTATAAGTGTAGTGGCTGCGTGACATGCAGCCACATGATCAGTGGAACCACATTTGCTCACCCTCACAGTGGCAAAAGGATACCTATCTCACACTATATTACATGCACCACTGACCATGTCATATATCTAACCACTTGTCCATGTGGACTATTTTATGTGGGCAAGACCGACTTAACGGTTCATGACCGTATCAGATAACATAGATCTGCAATTACCACAGCGTTTAGGGATCAACGGACAGATAAACCTGTGGCCAAACATTTTCTACTTGCTCTGCACAGATTACCCACTTTGCATTTCATGGCCATAGACCATATCCCTCTGATGCCACAAGGAGGAGACAGATCCAGATTGCTTCTTCAGCGAGAAGCTGTCTGGATCCACCATCTGAAAAAAGCTGCACCTAAAAGAGTTAACCTAAAAGAGTCAAATGCATCACATATTCTATGCTTCTATGAATGATTATTGTATAGAATAGTTTAATACCTGTGAACAAGCAGAATGTATATAATTTATATTTAGGACTTTATGGACAATCATAGTCCTTAATAATTAATGTACACTTTTCTATGTTGTCCCCATTATTTAGATATTTGCATTCAGTTATCTATCCAAATCTTTATCATTTTTTCATTATATATAACTTCTTAGTAAGTTAAAGGATTACTATAGGGTCAGGAACACAAACATGTATTCCTGACCCTATAGTGTTAACACCACCATCTAGCCCCCTTGGGCCCGTCATGCCTCCATAAATATAGTAAAATCCTACTGTATTCAAGCCTGAAGCTGTTGCTCTGCATGCTGTTAGACTAAGAAAAACAAGCAGTCTGCTGACATCATTAGAAGTGGTGGCCTGATCCAATCACAGTGCTTCCCCATAGGATTGGCTGAGACTGATAAAGAGGCAGATAAGGGGCAGAGCCAGCATGATTCAAACACAGCCCTGGCCAATCAGCATCTCCTCATAGAGATGAATTGAATCAATGAATCTCTATTAGGAAAGTTCAGTGTCTGCATGCAGAGGGAGGAGACACCGGATGTTTGGATGCATTTTAGGCAGCCATGACCCAGGAAGGATCTCTAACAGCAATCTAAGGAGTGGCCAGTGAAGTTATCACAAGGATGTAATGTAATCAATGTTGTCTTGTATCTTAGCAACCATGTCACTTACGCACGTCACGTATCCTGCCTGTCCACTTCCGGGTTTGAGGGAGATCGGGCAGCATGCACTCGGTAATTGGTAAGTTAATTTACACATTTACTATATAACTGTATTATTTGCACTGTACACTTGATCTTGAGGAAGATCCATTGGGGTCGAAATGTCGATTGGAACAGAATTTATGTAATTATTTAATAAATCACATTCAAAAGACCTGGAGAGTGCACCCTCCTTCCTTCAAATTATATACAAACACGGGTTGCACCAAGGCAAGTTTTTCCATTGCATACTACAAGGGGTGAGTACCCAGAATACTTTGATATATATATATATATATATATATATATATATATATACAGTTTGATGGAAGTCCTTAGGAAAGTTCATTGTAGTGAACTGAAACATTGACTTACTGCTTGGATTAAAAGCCTACATATCCTTGAGTGCTGGCTTTCTTTTGGAGACTATATATATATATATATATATATATATATATATATATAATTTCATTCTTAGTGTATTTTGATATATATATATATATATATATATATATATATAATTAAATATACACTTAGAATTAAAATAGATATTAAATATATGCTACATGTTGGTAGTATGGAAATACTGTCAGTTTGTGTAATTGAATTTTAAACATTTCCACCCTCTTTTCTTCTTGGTTTGATTGCAGAGGTGTACTGCAAAAAATGGAAGGTATTATTCCTGAGTGGGGTGAGATGGGTATATCCCTCCCTTTACTCACATGATTCCTTTATATACATCTTAATTGTTCTAAAATGTTTATATTGATAAAACACCAGGACAGGCGCAAAATGTTTCCAGAATTACTGAAAGTTTTTCATATATTATAAAATACCATGAAGAAGATAAAAAATAATACAATGTCGTAATTTCTTATACTTTTTTTTTAGATTTTATTCAATTAAATTGTGTTCCATTTATAAATATTTGATTTGAAATGAAAGCTCTGTTCCTTCTGAACAAATTATATATACTAAGTGTTGGTGCACTTAATATGAGAGAGGTAAAGAGAGGTAAATTATGGTTAAACACACATATAGCTCAAATTCTGTTTTGTTTTTGTCAGAACTAAGAGGTAAACTGTATCTACTGCATGTCGGTGTTATACCCAAATGCAGACCTATTTTGTTGCAGTTATCAGTAAACCATACCTCTGGTGATGCCATCAGGGTCCTTAAAAAAACTTACAAGCAGGTTGTTTAACCATTTTTATTAATCTAATTTTGACACATACTGTATGCAAGAAATATGTGTTTTTGTACTAATATTTCAGACTCTCTTTGAAATATTGCAAGTTAATAGATACTGTATGCAGTCTAAAGCTTTTTATTCACCCAATATTTCTGTAAGGGAAGGTTGGTCATACCTTTTAACTTTATCCAACTTGATTGTCTTCTACTGTTTTTTCTTTGAGACATTTTGACTTTCATCACAGCTATGTATAGTGGATTTCTGGAGAAGCTACAGATTGCATAATCTAGAACTCATAAAACAGACTATTTACTACATTCTGGCCTTTCACCACTCATTTGTTTGGAAAATGCTCTCAGTTTTCTTTCTTTTTTTGTCATTTGAAATTTTTATTAAGTTTCAAAGAAGTAGGGGTACAGAAAAGAAAATGTAAGGGGGGAAATGTCACCAACACAATCTGATAATGCTCGTATAAGCATAAAAACATAGAAAAACAGAGAAATATTTTGCACTGGATACACAGTTATAGCAGGCCCCCATGCTTCTGGTTAGTAAAGCATATACCTCAACTTAACAGCAGGGTGTCAAATAAATAATAAAATGCAGCTACAAATTTGTCAGGTTCCTGATCTCCAGATGTCCCACAGGTCCCATACTCTTTGAAATGTGTTTGAGGGAGAGAATACTGGCTTAATGTACTTCTCATAGGAGCATTGTTTGTCCAGAGAGCAGTACAGATAGAGTCGGTGTCCCCTGAAATTTCCAGATCTTTGCTATCAACCATTGGTAAGTCAGGGCAATATGCAAAGCCAATTTCAATTGTGATTTAGATAACGTGTCAGGGGTATCTAAAGTGAGTTAAGTGCGAGGGGAAATAGGTAATAAACATTTCGTCAGGTGTAAAACTATAGTGTGGATAAAGGTCCAGAATTGTTGGAGACTGGCACATTACCACCACACGTTTAAGGTTGTTACCCTTAAAGAGATTGCATCATCAGCATTGCAGAGAGGCAATATGGTACAGTCTATGTAACCTACTAGGTACCATATACCAGCGATACAATGTTTTACAATGTTGTTCAATATGTGCAGATGATTTGATCGATTTTCTGGGTAACTTGATAATATATTCCCAGTGTTTTGGGTAAATTGTACAATGCAAGTACAGTTGCTATTGCTGTGCTGGACTAGAATCTGAAATAGGAGTATGCTGGGAGAGCACGTGGAGATCGGTTTAAAAGTTGAAGGCAGAGGGTAATCTGCAAGGGAAATCTGACAGATGCAGGAGCAGACTGGATGGAAGGGCAGAGATGTTTTGGTAATCACAGAATGTTAGCGAGATCATGAGGAGCTATGTGCAGTCTTTCCAGAGTGACCCATTCTGGAGGATAACCAGTTAAAAATTGTGGAAGAGCAGTGGCAAGTCTTGTTGCGTGGTAATATGTCTGGACATTTAAAAGTGTCAGTCCTCCAACATTTTTCAGTGCATTCAGTAGTTTTAGAGCTACTCATGGTCTCCCACCCATCCAAACAAAGTTGTGGAGATCTTACTGCATATGTTTAATATATGAAGGGGGAAGGGTAATGGGAAGAGTGCGGAAAAGGTAAAGTAATTTTGGTAGGATGGACGTTTTGAAAGCCACAACTCTCTCCGTCCAAGCAATTTCCATTTGTGTAGTAGTGAACGGCAGCTATTCCAGACAGATACATAATTGGCTGCATAAAGGTCTGCTGGGCTCAATGACAAGACAGTAGTCGATGCCTACACCATGCCCTGCATAGATTAGCTGCTGGATCGGATGGCTAGGGGCCAGTACCTCACTGCCATAGATCTGTGCAAGGAATGACAGATGCTGTTCCCAAGACGGCCTTTGTCACCCCATTTGGTCTGTACCAATTTAAGGTTATGCCATTTGGGTTGAAGAATGCCCCAGCCACTTTCCAAAAGATGGTGGATCAAATTTTGGATGGCCTCCAGGACTATGCCTGCACATACCTGGATGACATTGCTGTATACAGCGACACTTGGGAAGAGCATCTGGTACATGTACGAGCTGTACTAGATAGGATTAGGGAGGCATGATTGACCCTAAAGCCCAGCAAGTGCCACCTAGGGATGGCCGAAGTACAGTACCTAGGACACCGTGTAGGGTTGAGTCACACACTAACACAGATTTAGACAAATTTGTGTACATTGAAAAAGTCTTAGATCTTTGAGTTCAGCTCATGAAAAATGGGGGCAAAAACAAAAGTGTTGCGTTTATAATTTTGTTCAGTGTAGTAACGTAAAGGCTTGCCATGAAAACATAAACTATTTTAATGGCCAACTTTAATATCAAAGTTATATACACACAAACACACACACACACACACACACATGTATATAGAGAGACATATATATTTGTGTGTGTATATAACTTTCATATTAACTATATTTGTATGTATATATGTGAGAAAAAAGTATTTTTCCCCTGCTGATTTTGAACGTTTGCCCACTGACAAAGAAATGATCAGTCTATAATTGTAATGGTAGGTGTATTTTAACAGTGAGAGGCAGAATAACAAGAAAACAAATCCAGAAAAACCCATGTCAAAAAAGTTATAAATTGATTTGCAAGTCAATGAGTGAAATAAGTATTGGATCCCCTATCAATCAGCAAGTTTTCTGGCTCCCAGGTGTCTTTTATACAGGTAAACTCTTAAAGAGAGTGCTCCTAATCTCAGCTCATTACCTGTATAAAAGACACCAGTCCACAGAAACAATCAATCAATCAATCAGATTCCAAACTCTCCACCATGGCCAAGACCAAATAGCTGTCCAAGGATGTCAGGGACAATATTGTAGACCTACACAAGATTGGAATGGGCTACAAGACCATCACCAAGTAGCTTGGTGAGAAGATGACAACAGTTGGTGCGAATAATCGCAAAGGGAAGAAACACAAAATAACTGTCAATCTTCCCCGGTCTGGTGCTCCATGCAAGATCTCACCTCGTGGAGTTTTAATGATCATAAGAACGGGGAGAAATCAGCCCAGAACTACACAGGAGGATCTTGTTAATGATCTCAAGGCAGCTGGGACCATAGTCACCAAGAAAACAATTGGTAACACACTATGCCGTTAAGTACTGAAATCCTGCAGCGCCTGCAAGTTCCCCTGCTCAAAAATGCACTTGTACAGGCCTGACTGAAGTTTGCCAATGAACATCTGAATGATTCAGATGAGATCTGGGTGAAAGTGTTGTGGTCAGATGAGACCAAAATCAAACTCTTTGGCATCAACTCAACTCGCCGTGTTTGGAGGAGGAGGCATGCTGCCTATGACCCCAAGAACACCATCCCCACCATCAAACATGGAGTTTGAAACATTATGCTTTGGGGGTGTATTTCTGCCAAGGGGACTGGACAACTGCACCGCATCAAAGGGACGATGGTCGGGGCAATATACCGTCAAATCTAGGATGAAAACCTCCTTCCCTCAGCCAGGGCATTGAAAATGGGTTGTGTATTCCAGCATGACAATGACCCAAAGCACACAGCCAAGTCAAAGGAGTGGCTCAAGAAGAAGCACATTAATGTCCTGGAGTGGACTAGCCAGTATCCAGACCTCAATCCCATTGAAAATCTGTGGAGAGAGCTGAAGGTTCGAGTTGCCAAACATCAGCCTTGAAACCTTGAAAACTTTTTTGAAATGCCTTTTTCTGGATCTTTTTTTTTTTTTTGTTATTCTGTCTCTCACTGTTAAAATACACCGAACATTAAAATTATAGACTGATCATTTTTTTGTCAGTGGGCAAATGTTCAAAATCAGCAGGGGATCAAATACTTTTTTCCCCCACTGTCTTAAATATATTATCAAATAATATTGGAGAGGTTCTGACTCAGTTGTCTAGTCATCAATGTTTGGCCCTAGTCAAAGTTACTTTTTGCTTGCTCTTTTTTCCTGCGTCCAACACATGAAATTCAAGAACTGACTGCTCACTTGCTGCCTAATATATCCCACCCTTTGACAGGTGACATTGTAATAATATAATCAGTTATTTCTGTCAGTGGTTTTCATGTTGTAACTGATCATTGTATTGTACTACAGAATTAAGAAAGTTGTAGCATCAAGTCTGACTAAGAGGAAATAGATTGAATGTAAGCTATATTCTCAGTATTATTAAAATATAATAGATCATCATTGAATAGAAATTTGCTTCCCAATAATTGTGCAAGGAAGTTTGAAATAATCTTAAACACAAGACACAAAATCAGAAATATATTTTTCATTACTATATGTTTGGATATATTAAAAGAGACGTTGTCTCAGTTTTATAAAATTGTCCACAAATATTTTCACAAATATTCTAAAAACTTTAAATATACATATTTGCAATAGAGCTGTGCTTTTTACCTAAACAATAAATAAATCTCACTACTAGTCTCTATGTACACATATTTGCTATTGAATTAATTCCCAAATCACATTTGAATAATATTTAAATTATCATTGACAATCCATATGACTTAGTTTTCTAATGTCTTATAGAATTTGATTGTACAAACTTTGTCCACATATGTTTGATTATGTCTTGCACTTGCTTGTTGCGTATACTGTATATAAAGGGATGCAACATAGGAGTAATGACGCTGTTAAAAAGAGCTACTATCTTATTATGGTCAGGAGAAGAACTTTCAACTGGTCGTACATATATAAACATAGCACTACCATAAGCCAAGGAGACCACAATGAAGTGAGATGTACAGGTGGAGAAGGTTTTTTTTCTACCACTGGATGATGGTATCTTCATGACTGTGATAATGATCTTGAAGTAAGAAAAGAGTGTTATGGTTAAAGAACCCAAAATTACAGCTGTGGCAATGCTTGAGAATACCAGGTCAAAGGCTTGGATATCAGAGCAACTAATCTTCACCACAGCAGAGCTGTCACAGAAAAAATGATTGATTTCATAAGGACCACAGAAGAGCATTTTACCCATTAAAACTGCAGGAGAGATACAAATAAAGAACCCACCAATCCAAGATATTAGCACCGCCCAATAACAGGTCCTGCTGGTGATGATGGAGTGATATATTAATGGTTGGCAAATAGCCATATACCTATCAACAGACATGACAGCCAGAAGACAAAACTCAGTGGCACCAAGAGACACATATATGTAGAACTGCAGAACACATGCAGGCAGGGAAATAAATCTGTTATTACTGACTAAGAGATCGAGAATCTTGGGAACTGTGCAGGATATGAAGCAAATGTCAAAGAAAGCCAAGCTGGTTAGGAAGTAATACATTGGACTGTAGAGGCATTTATCCAGACAGATAGCAGTAATAATTGTCAAGTTACCCATTAAAGACATAGAATAAAGTAATAGGAAAATCACAAAAATGCATTGTTGTTTCCATGGGCCAAGTGTAATTCCAACAAGACTAAACATTGTATGATTCTGGGTTGTCATCAAGTCCTCTGCACCTGAGATATGTCAAGTCAACTGGTGAATTGAAAGTATGGAGAGATTAGAGAAATGTATTTTATTATTTTATTATTAAAAATTTATCAAGAGCACTTTAAACAGACAAGCAATGATACAGTCTTCAAAGTTCAGTTAAACTACTGAGTTCATTATACATAATTATGGGCTACTCCAACCATCACTACCTCTTCTGCTTTAAATTGAGTTTGAGTTAATGTTGAGAAAGCACCAAGTGGGGAGTGAAACTCATCCAGGGTGTTACTTACCGTTTTCTGGGTGGTCTTCTTAGGTGGTTGTGACAGACCGTTGGCACTCCGACTGAGTACCTCCGCCAATCGATGCGCCTAGTGCTCGCTGAGGACTCTAAGCACTCCAACCGACACCATCAGCACTGCAGACCCCACCCACCCTGGACCCAAGGCCAGGATCCAGCTTCCAGTGGGTTAAACTCTCTTTCCTCAGAGAGCAGGAACAGGAACAAGCAGAGCTTAGTGATCATACCCTAGGGAGTATAGTGATTATAGCAATCTCCAGAGTGTAGTTCTCCAATCCCCCAAACATGAGCCAAGGCTTCAAGAAAGGTACAAGATGATCTGATCTTTTAATGACCACATACTGGCTTTTATGCAAGTCCCCATGCAAGGGGACATCTCACAGGGTGGGACACAGTACAACCAATCATTTACAGGAAAACCGTAAAACACACCCAGCCCCAAAATACAATCCCTCCCCTCTGCCTGTGATATAATTAATGAACACAATGGGTTAATGTAATTTATCACAGGCAGTAAAAAATACACTTTTTACACATATACTGTAACTTTAATAATATGCATCCTATTCACATATTCCAAATCAGCATACTTTAAATATAAACATAACCAAAAATCATGCAAATCCTTCCATTAGTTCAAAAGTTAGCCGGAAGTCCTTTGTGACCAATGAAGCATCGCTTTTCTGCCCAAAACTAGTTCCACAGTGTCTTCTATCCTGGAGATAATTGGGAAGTAATCCAATTATCTCCAAGGACAGAGGCAAAACTCCATTGAACACATGGCAGCAAAATGACATAAAATTACACAATGTTACAATTACTACATAAAACATATACATGCAACATATCCGCAGATAGCTTAGATCTGAGCGCACATTATTACGAAATCACATACATACAGTTCAATCGCCATGGAGCCAAAGTCTTTTCCATAGTCTTTTGTTACACGAATAGGCTCCATGGCATAGCTATCTGGGGTAGCACTACTACCATACTGAAAGTCCAGAACGCCCTGGCAGAAATACACAAATAAACCTTTCTGCAGGGGAAAATACAGCTATCAGCACATGGGCCATAGTCGGAAGGCAGGAGGCTAGCCAGTAGTCCCCTCCAGGAACAAGTGGCAAAGGGCACTTCGTCACAGTGGTCTCTCCCCTGAACAGTAGCTTCAGGTAGCTCATTCACTCAGTATTTATAAATTTTTTGTTTCTTTGGATACTGAGTTATTTTACACACTTGATACTATTTTGTACATGTGACATTGGAACTACCTTACCATACATGAGCACGAGGACTGCTGTTACAGTGTGATACCATGTGTATTTACTTCTATTACTTTTTTCAATAAATGTGTTACTTTTTCATTACTTTTTTACATTTGTGGATTATATCTTCTGCTTTAAGACATGGTTATGATGGTAGAAGTCTGTATATGCAGCATTTCAGAGCTATATTCAGTTTTGTGTCAGGGGCGAGTTACACTTTCGGCACACGTGACATGTATTAAGCTTATCCTGTGCAGGCAGTGCCTGGAAGTGAAAGTGTTTGTCTCTCTCTCCCTTTTTCATTGAGGACAGCCATCCTCACTTCTCTATATCATGCATAGTGCTCGTAATTTCCACCCTCGCTCTCTCCTTCCTCTCACTGGTTCAAAACATGGTCCTTATGAGAAGCCATTGAATGGACTGTGCATGGCCCTTGGTGAGTTTGATTAACCCTTTAATCATTTATAAAGCTATACATAGCTTTCGAAAGGCAAGTAAATAACAAAGTATGAAAGAATCTAAAAGGGTTGACATGCAGCTGGTGGAGTGGCTTTGCATTGGGTGATTGTTACACAGATGGGAAAAATGTCAGAAGTGGAAGAGGATATGGTGAGAAAAGGTGGATTGAGGGAGTCCATAACAGAACCAAGTACTTAGAAGATAATAAATAGCCAATGGGATGGGGAGAATGAACTCATTTCTGCAGAAGAGAGCTAGGGGTGAAATTTGAGAAGAAAAAATAGAGTGGCTAAGGGATTTAAAAGTGATGAAGCAAAGAGGATGGGAAGAGATATCACAATAGTGATGAGACATATGAAAGTTTAGAGTTTTTGACAGTTGTGTGTGGAAGAGGCAGACTGTATGTAACGTGTTGCAAAAGATATGGGCAGCTGTAATTTGAATTTACTGAAGTGGAATGAAGGCATGTTACAGAAGGCTAAGCAGGAGGGAGTCATCTATAAAGTCTGTTGAAGATGAAGGTGTGAGAAATGAGTATTGCAGCAGAGAACATGAGAATGAGCAGTGATTCTGAATTCTGAGGTGAAAGTGACATAGGTGAGGTGCATACATAAGTGTGTGAATCTGTATCATTGTGTTTGGAATGCTTAACATCATAAAGTGCATTACAAGTCTAATAGTTATTTTATCCATACATCATGCTAGCTGAATAACAGCTGTTATATTAAAAATGATCACCTTATGCCTGGTTCCACTGCAGATCTGTACTTGTATTTGTCCTACATAGCAACTTTTCTAGTGTGTCCCAGAATGTTTTGCACCTTAGGAAAGATGAATTAGGATGCCATGTGAAGCACATATGTGCAATAAAATATAATATTATATAATAATCATATTGTAATATCTATAAATTCTGACTACATAGCAGCCATAAAAATAACTAGCATTATGCACGAGTAAAAAATATCACTAAATATGTATAAATACCAGACTACCTTGTATTTCTAACATGTTCACCTATTTGCAGATGCTTAGTGATTATTATTTTAGCGTTCTGTCATGAATCTGACATTTCTTACTCTCACTCTGGCATAGACTAATAGGTGTTTTGTGTTATGCTAAATATTCTAGTGACACAAAGCAATTTCTTAATTCAAAACAATTTTAAATTTCAAATTGTAATGTTATCTTATAGGACATGAAGTTATCAGGAGTGCTTTGCAAATAAAAGCATGGGAATCACAAGAAAATTAAAATAAAACTACACATGAAGTAGCTTCTGTTTTGTGAATATATTTGAGCAAGTTTGATCATTAATTTATTATCACTTTATTATGTAATATCATGTTGCTGTGATAGCATACTAGCTTTCTCTGAAACACATTCCCTATCCTTTATTTGTTCACCATTTCTTTAATGCCCTGGTGTACTCATGTACTAAATGTACTAAAGCACATACCTTTTTGTTGAATGCATTATCATACATTGGATTCTTCAAAGTTAGTTAGTGCCAGTTGGTTTTGCTATGTGGTTTTCGTTATAGTTATATAGTCCAGTCCCCTCCCAGCTGCACATTGACATATTTAAATCTCAGTAGAGCATCAGCTCACATCTGTCTACACGTGGGATCTCAACCTAGGAAAATAAATAAATGTCTAAAAAAACAAACTATTGCTGTTTAAGCCTTTTTCAAATTATAGACATTTTTTTTTCTCAGTGCTAGTTGTTAACTTGAAAGACTAGTAACAGCTGACTTATTTCACCTCCTTAATGTTTCATGCAGAAAATTAAGGTTATGTTATATTGAGCCCTTAAAGATGAGCACAATGGTTTTGATGGAGTTAAAGAAGATTAACACACATCAGCTCCTTCAAGTATCAAAAATCAAAACCCACAAAAGGTATACTATGTCTGGGGTGCACACGTAAAATACTTATAAGCAAATGTAAACAACAGTATTACATAAGTTAATGTGATCTGGTGGTAATGTAGATAACAAGGTAATGGTTGTAACGTACCAAACACAGTGGTATTTCTGTTCTTGGAAGAGGAAGATGACATAATCATACACATTTCTTATAAACCACCCTAAATAGGTTTCATGTTGGTGCTTACTTTTCACACTAACTCTATCTCTTTTTGAGACACTTAAAATAGATAACTATATGTTATCAGAATACAAGAGGATCAACAAGATATGTCAACAACCTTCCTAAGGACCGAAGTCACAGTGGGGAAGATCGAAAGGCATAATAATGGACCTTACACTTACTGTGCTGAACACTTAGTATATACATTAGTAGTAGTATCAGACTTAGATTTAATAATAATTCATTCCAGGAGACCACTGAAACTAGAGAGAAAACTCAATACGGAACAAGCTAGACTCAGAGTCAGGGAAGTAACTGAAACTGGTAAACTTGAGGACAGAAACAAAACTTGAGTTCAGGAACATAGCCGGGTACAAAACACAATAAACAGTAATTGAGAAGCTCAGGGTTAAGGGCGTAAGCATTATGACACGCTCAAGATCTATGAGAAAACACGAAAGGGCAGTGATCCAAAGATTACAGGAATTTATAAAGGCCCAGATCTTGTGCTGCAGTTTTGCACCATTCGTGCATGCGTATTGCAAGCAAGACACTGACACCAAAGAACAGGGTTCTTTTCTTTCGTCTCACTTATTTCTCACAGGGCACTATCACCATGTGCAGGCAACCAACACTCTAAGTATGGTTCTGCACATTAGCACTATGTAAGTTTTTTCTTATTCTTCTTTCCTCCTTTCCAGTCCTACTTTTTACATTAATTCAAGGATATCCTGAGGTTTAAGCACCAGCAACAAGAAGGATTGAAAAATTCAAGGTCATTCCAGTCCTTTGCTGTACAGAATACTAGCTACTATATATGTTCTATCTGTCTAGCTACTGTTTTTTTACAGTATCAATTCTCATACAATGTATTAACATTGTTTTTCATTATCTAGCATATAGACACATATTTTAGTTGGTCTAGCCAGTTTACAATGCAAGGAAGCTCCTCATTTCCACAGAGCTGCTGTTTAGACTCAGTACCCATCCTTTTACAGTGGTTTGACACTGTTGTTTATTATCCTACATATATACACATTTCTCAGATCGTCTAGTCAGTTGCCTACATAGGGAAGCTCCTTATTTTGATAGAGCTCCATTGACTAGCGATTTACCTATTAGGTATATGGATATTTGACATAGTAGGACCGAAACCTGTGATCCGTTTTGAGTATATAATAATTCAGACATTGACCCACCCTATAGACAATAAAGTCAGGTGTCTGCTGAACTATACCCACGGACCGGTGATTTAGGAGGGTAGCCTACAGGATTTAACTGTATTATTGAGAAACGGAAAAAAACAAAGGAAATAGGGCGCGCCTTTAATAAAAATGCATAAATATATAACTAAAAAGTACAATAAAATAGAAATTGGGATAAAAAAGTCCAAGGTAATAGTCCACAGATAAATGAGGAATGTTCTTTGTAGCGTAATATGGTTTCATCCCAGATGATGACTTGTATTTTCAATGAACCATATGTGGAAAAAAGTAGAAAGGACAACCAATGGTACAGTATGTAGGTATAGATGAATATATATGTAATAAATTGGAATTACTCACAATTTCCAGAGCTAAAATTTGAGCAGATGGCATGCTCACAGCCTGCTTCTAGCATCCACGATCATCAGAGGGTTCCTACCCTCTGATGACGTGGTGCTCTTCTGTTTCCACCCGGCCGGCACCTTGTCTCTGTACACATGTGTTCCGTTATTGGAACGCAGGCGTTTCATTGCGCCCACGTGACGCGGAAGTAATTTTATGCCGCGCGTCACGTGATCTCCACTTGTAACTAAAATCTACATCTCGTTTTCCACAAAATACGTATATAATTTATTTCTACATGTATGTATATGTTATTGATATTACTGTTATCTTATTTTAATATGTATTTTAAAATTCAGTTTGTGATGATGTCATTTTGGCAGGAATATTCAAATTCCAGTACATTTAATAAACCCTATATAAAGCATTGTCAGTCAGGTTACTGTTTTTATTATATTCTACTTGAAGAAGCCTGTTGTGGGTGAAACGCGTTTAGAATTTGTTTTAATAGTTTTTATATTGTCATGATAAAGGAATTTTGGCCTGAAATATTTTATCGCCACATTCCTGTTTTTTACTTAATTTTATTTTTATACCTGACTAACTTGAACCAACACGAATTTACGGTAAAATCCTTAGGTGGGGATTATACCACCCATACGCTAAACATTGAGCAGAGAGGACTGCTCAATATATTGTGAGTACATTTCATACTTTTCTTTTACTTTTACTCATATTATACAGGGAGCACTGTATATTTTATCTGTTTTAATTTTCGGTCGGAATCCTTGGTGGACCACCTATTTTGCAAGTTACTGCTCCATATATCCTTGAGTGGGGATCATTCCACTTCACGCATTTCATACCAGAGCTGGATTTTAGCTCTGGAAATTGTGAGTAATTCCAATTTATTACATGTATATTCATCTATACCTACATACTGTACCATCGGTTGTCCTTTCTACTTTTTTCAACATATGGCTCATTGAAAATAAAAGTCATCATCTGGGACGAAACCATATTACGCTACAGAGAACATTCTTCATTTATCTGTCGACTATTACCTTGGACTTTTTATCCCAATTTCTATTTTATTGTACTTCCTTAGTTTTTTCCATTTCTCTTTAAGCTTTAGGGGATAGAAGGGTACCCTGCCTCTTCACTACTTTACATACTTTCTGTGGCATTATTAGCGCTGATCTTACTTTGATTATTTTAACTGTATTATTGTATTTTTGAATTGTCCCAGGCACTTTAGAGGGGATACACGCTATGTACCTTTTTGTAAAGTTTACAGACTTACCCTATGACATTATAGTTCCAGATTACACTCGTATTTCTGGACCTCAGCATCTAGTGGTTAGAGTTGTATTATTTTTTGTTATTTGCCGTTTAGGGGTTAAGCCCCAGGACACCTCTGGAATGTCCAATAAGGTGTGTTTTCTCTCCACAGGTCGTTAAGTTAACCCTCTTTTCCGAGGCTTAGCCATCACCTGTGGAGTTTATTTATATCTTTCGTGTTAATAATAATATAAAACCCACTCATAAGGAAATGAGCAGATCCTCCTCAAAATGGCAAACAGGTCTCTCAACATACCCACCTTCAATTGACATTGGGTATAGGGCAACACTCTCCCCCGTTTCATTGCCTTTAACCCCTTAAGGACCAATCTTCTAGAAAAAAAGGAATCATGGCATGTCACACATGTCATGTGTCCTTAAGGGGTTAATGCCTGGCACACAATAAAATGCTTTGTAATACCATGAAACTTAAAAAGAAAAGAAAGCGCTGACATAGATTTATTCAAATGAGATGGTGAAGCCCCAGGGCCAAATGAGTGATAAACCATAATAAAATATCCAGTCTGTGACTATTATTCTCAATCCCTCCCGCCCATGCCATAATGCTATCCCACTCATCCCAGATCTTACACTACGCCGACCAGGTAGAAGGCGCCACTGATGATCTTACCCATCCTGCAAACAATATCTCCCGAGAGTCCACATCACCTTGGGCCTCCTGGAGCCATGCATCTCTGCCTCCGGTGCCTCCTCTCCGGTGCCTCTGCCACTGAGAAAGATGATATCTAGTGCAAAAGAAGATATTCAGCTCCATACACAGCAAAACGAAATAGCACAACATACGAACCCCCAGAGCCAATAATGGAGAGAGATTATTTACTTAATGCACCACCAAATGATTATCCGAAAGTAAATTGGCATGCCTATCACTCATGGACCAGCCCCAAAGGGCTAATGCTACCACCAGTTGAAACAACTCCAATAAAGCCCAATTACTGATAAGTGGACTAGTATGCCATTCATCTGGTCACTGAGCTGCACACCCTTCAATTCAAGCCTTTCTGCTACCAAAATCGGCTTTTGGAAAACAACTGTCCCATTGAATTTATCAAGGAACACCTCCCAAATAGCCATGTCAGCTCTCATGGCCCTTGTTACCCTAAGGAAGTGATGACCTTCACAGATGCCTGTCGTAGCCCTGGAGACTGACCTCAGAAAAATTCGACCCACTGGCATAACCGGGAGAGTGAGTTTTAACCTGCCGATCATAGACTGCAACTGTTTGACTGTAACCTTTTCGCCTGCTAACAGTAACTATAGCCTCCCTCATCATCCACAACTTGTCCTCTGGCAACCGACAAACACCCATGACTGTGTCAATTTCCAAGCCTAGAAAGACAAGTGGTAAGGCCTGCCATCTTCTCATCTGCCACGGTACTCCAAACAGACTCATCACCCACGGCAAACGTCACAGAATATGCAATCACTCAGACGAACCACTAAGACCCAGACACAGAAAAAATCATCAGGCAATAAACCACCAAATGGCACCCAGCTTCAAATATCACTACCCATTTGAGAAATGTACTAAATGTCTCAAAATAAGCACATGAGATGGAGCAACCCATGGCAAGGAACAAGTCCATAAAATATTCACCCTCAAAACAACAACCCAGAAGTTGGAAAGCAGACTCAATATCCACTTCCACTAGCAATAACCAAATGTCAAATGAGCTCTTGAAAAGCTCTTGCATGAGAAAAAGGCCCTGTGTGTGTTTTGCGCAGCAATTTATTAACATGCTTGTGCTGTGTTTTCTTGTAACTTGTCTCTGGTGTCTCGATAAGTGGGATACCAGAGGACAAAAGGGCCAAGAAAGCGTATTATACATGTGTTTGGAGCCTGCTTGTGTGATAGCGTGTGTGTAGAGTGAGCTGATTGAGGTGTGGTGTTTTGTGTAAATAGGTTGGTTTAAGTTGTGTTGTGTTGTGTTTATGAAGTAAAATGTGTGGCTAGGGACTGTAGTGTGTGTGTATAGGTAATGTAGTGCGTGTAGAGGCTGTAGAGAGTGTGTGTTTAGAGAATGTAGTGTGTGTGTTTGAGTACAAAGAGTCTAGTGTGTTTAGGGCATTTACCCGGTTTGCTAGATGGCCAGTCCAGACCTGGACATTGTGCTCAATTTCTTGTCAATATCCACATTCACTGATTGACCCTTTAGAAATAAGTGATGAATGAGTCTATATTTGCCTCCCTCTTTTTTGGGAACAATCCTTAACTTCCTAACAAATGGTGACATGCTAAACCTGGGAATCGAAAATAACTGGAATGTGCCTGTCACTCCCAATAATTTTACTTCCTTGTCTAGAATTCCCTCATTCATCTCTCTTTTATTTAAAGGCAACCACGATTTGTGTGGCACAAAGGGAATCTGAAACCCCTCTGTGAACCACCCAGGACGTACAGCTTACCATAGTGTTTTAGCTATGACAGTATCATGTCTTTGTTCACTAGTGATTTCCCCTTTAGTTGCCCCAGCACTAGGTTCAGATCCTGTCTTTCCTCTCTTAAAGCATTTGGACAGGCTGTGGGTTACCCCACAGCCAGAGCCCTCATGCTTATACTTGCATGACCCTCTCCCACTTACGGTGGCAGTCTTTATACAGTCAACAATATCCTTGGTTGAAACCCCTCCACCAGCAACACCTTAAAAGTCCAAGGCTTTCTGGTCTATCATTAATTTCAACTGTGGGGGGAGATCAACCAGGTCCCATCTGATACCAAGGTTAGTGGCCAGGCGCTGATGAAATTGCTCGTCATGGCGTCACCATGCTAAACCTTCATAAGTCTTAGAGGCATCCCATATGACATCCAAGTAACAAAATAAAGCTGACCAGTTCTTAGGGTTTTTTCCTTGATAACATAAGCCAACTTACAAACGGCCAGAAGCCAATTGCCAAACTTCTTGGGTATCTTCAGATATCTCTTCTTCCGTTACTCTTCTTCCTTTTATGCTTTCTCGTCTTTTTTGTTGTCTGTCTTTAAATCAACCTATTCCTCCAGGGGCAACAGGGAGACTAATTCTTTGTACTCCTGCTTTCACATTTTTTCTTTTATATCCAACTTCAAATGAACTCCGAGAGGACCAGAAAAAAATACATATGCGTTGCGCAGCACCACATCAGAAACCCCACCCACTGTATCCTCCGTATTTTTCCCTTCTCAATTCTGAACCTCTGTACCACCAACTGCTGATGCTGCAATGCTCCTCTTATGTGTCGATGCTGTACTGGCTACCGAAACTATCTCATGCACTATCACCCCCAGGTTTCCACTCCCCCCATGGCCCCAAGTTATCACAATACCCTGTGTACCCCCAACACCCTGCTAACTTTCCCCCCTTGAGCTTAATCCTGCCTCTAAGATAGATAACAAACCTGAGGCTTTCACCAAGTGTCTCTGCTTTGGACGGCCATGTTAGTCAGAAGCCCCACCTCTCACCATTCTTACCATCTCTCTGCAACCAGATATATGGCCTCTGCCTCTCGCTCACCAGTTAGACCTCTCCTCAATCCTGGGACCAATTTCACTGTCTCCTCTTCCAGACCCAGCTAACTTACCAGTTGCTCCCAGCATCTTCTCTCTAGGACCCACTACACTTCTGGCAATCTTCCTCTTCTTCACACTTGATTTCTGAGTGCCACCACTGGCCACACCATGCCACCTCCAGGGCTCAGTCTTTGTGTAGGCCTTACTCGCCTCACTGGACATGCAGCTGAAGCTCCTGCCACCTCAGGAATCAAGTGACCAAGCTGCTGCGGCTGCTGTACCCAAGCAGTGCCACACTCCTGAGCCACTTCACAAATGCCTGATAATAGTCTCTAAAAATCTTCATCCATGTCCCCAAAAGTGTACTGCAAACAGTCCACTGTAAAATATTACCGCCAACACAAAGCCAGGTCCCTCTCACAAACTTTGTGCTGCTCCAAAATAAATTTCTGACCATAATTCCCATCCTAATTGCATAACTCCAACCTCACATACAAACCCACCAATCCTGACTTCTGTCAGGGCACTACTCCTCGAGGTCTTCCATAAGCTGCATTTTGAGGAGCAATAAGCAGTTGTGATTTACGAAGAGTGTCAGCTGATTGCTATTAATCTATCAGAGCTCCCACTGCTATTATGAAGAGTATGACTACAAGTGTACAATCCCTTCCTTATCCATACCTCCAGTAGGGGTCATACTGTGGGGACCCATGCTTAGTGTTAAACTGCTCAAAAATGGTTTAACAATTAATGAAAGGGCAGTGACAGGAGACTACAGGCACTATATACCAATTCAAAGACATGAAGTACAGGGTCCCATTAAATGTGCATAAGGATTTTGCCCATGTACCTTTTTTCTTGGTTTTGTTTATATATTTTGGATGATGAATAATAATATCTTGGAGGGAACCATCCCCCACTGGTTTTTACATCCAGGATTTCATGAGTATAACACAAATAATATATTAAAAAATAAATAGCTTTGTTTATTAAACAGCATTATCAACATATGTGATGATAATCATGACATTCAATCTTTATACAGTAATCATTTTTATACAACATCCACAATATACATTTTAAAAGCACATACATGGGTATCAGACTAAAATGTACACACACAAGAGCAAATATAATATATTATCACAATTCCTATTAAAAGAACACCCCAGGCCAGATATTTAATGCATCATATAAAAGAGTGTGGTGGAGCAAAATAAACTTATGGCAATGGATAGCTTTGTTTGGCAATCTTTTGTGGCATAGTAATGCATAGACACAATACAATACTTTAAATGTAAATATAGTATAGCACATATTTGTATTAAAAAAAAAAGATTTGCTGCAATAATAAAAGCGCACTGTATATAATCATGGCCAATCAATAAGAATATTTTTTACAGAGAAAAGACACCTACAGAGAACAACATTATTTCTTATACTGACATAAAATTTAGAAGGCAAAACTATATATAAGGGTAAAAACATACTTAAAGGGATTCTTTCGTGCCTGGAAAACAAAGCTGTTTTCCTGGCACTAGAGAATCTTGGAGTGCCCCCTTCCCTTCCGCCCCCCCATCGCACGTCGCTGAAGGGGCTAAAACTTACCTGAATCCAGCGCCGATGTCCAAAGCTTTTTTCCTGGCACTAGAAAATCAGCAACTGGTAGACAGCCACTAGAGAAGGACTTAACCCTGCAAGGTAATTATTGCAGTTTTTAAATGTATATACACCATACACTACATATATGCTCATTTAAAGAGTTGTTACATAAAGGGTTCACCAATACCCAAGGCAGCCACCAGTAATTGATTTTTTTCTTTTTTTTTGGGTACAAGATGATACCAAAGATCTATCCCACAATTCAATATATTCTATATTCTCATACAGGTTCAGTCTATACAGGGCAGACATTCAATAAATTATTTATAATAAGAGTGCACAGTCCTTATACAATAAAAATAACACAGAATGGCAGCAAGTAGCATCTGGGTGTGGAGATAGGACCTGAAGTAGATGTCAAATAGGACTAAATTAAGGTACTGCATATGGGTGGAAATGGGGAAACTAATGTGCTAGGAGAAGGGCTGGAGAGTCCAATTTCTCTCTTACTAGCTCATGGTAAACGAATAATGGGAAAGGAAGTGAACTAATGATAGTATCTGCAAATATTAGCTGCTACACAGCCTTTTAACTTCCACTACTCTTGGACAGGCTGGTAAATGTGTATTTTAGTGCAACCATAGGTTTAAATCAATGCTCATCCTGTCTCTGTGTGCGTGTACATGTTTGTGTTTTATTGTATTTTACAGGATAACGAAGAGTACAAAATGAAATACAATCTGGTTTTCATATTGCATAGGACGTCTTGGACTTGCTTGTTACGTAGACTGTATATAAATGGATTTAGCACAGGAGTCATAACACTGTTAAGAAGAGCTACAACCTTATTAAGATCAGGAGAAGAACTATCAACCGGTCGTACATATATAAATATGGCACTACCATACACCAAGGAGACCACAGTGAAGTGAGAAGTACAAGTAGAAAAGGCTTTTTTTCTTCCACTGGATGATGGTATCTTCATGATGGTGAAAAGAATGTTAAAATAGGAAACTAATGTCATTATAAAGGAACCAATAATTACAGCCGATGCAAAAATGGAGAATATCAAATCAAAGACTTGGATGTCGGAGCAACTGATTTTAACCACTGCAGAGCTGTCACAGAAGAAATGATTAATTTCGAAAGAACCACAAAAAGATAAACCAAACATTAAATAAGTAGGATAGATGAATGTAAAGAATCCTCCAATCCAAGACATTAAAATATAGAAAAGACAGGTCTTACTGGTGATGATTGAGTGATACCTCAGTGGATGGCAAATAGCCACATACCTATCCACAGACATGATAGCTAGAAGATAGAATTCAATGGTACCAAGTGACACATAAAAATAGAATTGCAGAAAGCATGCAGGCAGAGAAATAGATTTATTGCTACTGACTAAGATAGTGAGGAGTTTGGGAACAGTTGAGGATATAAACCAAATGTCCAAAAAAGCCAAGCTGCTTAGGAAGAAATACATTGGACTATGGAGGCGTTTGTCCAGCCAGATAGCTGCAATGATGATCAGGTTACCCATTAAAGAAACATAATACAACAGTAGGAAAAGCACAAATACTCCTGTTTGAATTTGGGGCCCAACTATGAATCCAACAAGCATAAATGTGGTGTGGTTCTGTACAGTCATGTCTGCAGAAATAATCTGAGAATTAGACAATAAGTAGGTCATCACTAGGAAACATAGGGAGAAAACATGAAAGATTATGTATGGCAAAAGTGAAGGACTTGACAATAAAAAACAACTAAAGAGAAATTATCTCTCCAAATTGTGTAAGCTTTACATGCTTCATCATATTAAATACATAACCATACAGTAGAACATGTTCTTCAACTATGTATCCAGAAACTACCAAAGACCAAGATTTGGGCATTTTGATCAACGGCTATTTCACTGAAAATGACTGAAGCCCTGATTAATAAACATAGACAATTGCTGTTTACTAACTGTTTGCTTTTGGCTTTTTAAAAAAAAAAGGGTTTTCTTGGTAGTTCCCCAGTTGTTTGTTAGTATTTATGTTTTTAAAATATATTATGCCTTGGCTATTAGGTCTAAAATGTACTATTTTCTTATCAAGTCACAATTTCCACTTTCACTTTAATGAATAAAACCCAACTATTATAACATACCGAGTACAAAGAGAGACAGTTCTATCTTGTGTTAAATAAACTATAACAAGAATATATAAACATAAAACAGATGCATTGCCATGTTAGTGTCCAATGTAACCTAGTGAAGACCAGGGATAGATAAATAGTTTTCAAAAATAACTTTAATAAAACAGCATTTGCTTTAGAAAAAGAAAACAAGAACATTCTATGTTAAAAAGCACGCTGAAGCATAATGCTGTCACCAACAGAATATATAAAACTTTGGAAAATCACATGGCGTATGTGTTTCATACTGACATAGGCAATTTAAATTAAGGTTAGAAAAAATCTTCTCAAATGATTTTTCTGCAAAAATTCCCATAGATTGTAATTCTAACATCTATATAATCTTTTGGAAAAAAAATTCTAACAGATTAAAATCATTTCTGATGCTGGTTAAAACACATTAAATAGGGATAATGGTACTTGTTTATAGGATTAACATAGAGTTATTCACAAATGTTTGTTATTCACTAAAGTGAGAATTCAAAGTAAATTTCAGATTTAAGGTCAAAATAGCCAAAGTGGAAGAAATGCTTTCATTGTGGCTACGCTGATCTTAGTGTAAGTTTTAAGAGTGATAGAATAGAAGAGCTGTCTGTTTTTATCATTGAAGTCTCTAGAACAACAACTGTTTCTACAACTTTAATGAAATGGCCGAGACTTTTTCACAAGCAAGTACGTTGGCAAGTGTCTTGAATATTGTTGTCATGTGTGCATGCCACTATTTTTCCTTTCACATATGCTATTGTCAATTTTATGTTTAAGTTAACCTTTCTTTTCATCTGTCTATCTGTCTATCTATCTATCTATCTATCTATCTATCACTAGACTATGGCAGAAAAATAATACATCACATACATGTTTAGATTTGTTATATAGTCTTGCAATATCATTTTTATATATTTGTGGAATGTCCAATTTGTGCACATACACATGATGATGAATTGAATACATTTCTTTTTACATCCCTGCAATATCCAATTAACATATTAATATGCTTAATTTGAATTAATATGCTTTTTTATGCTCATTTTCTGTGCACATCTTTCCCAGTTTTCTTGTCAACAGCGAAAATAGCTTCAGAAAATTATGTCTGTCTGTCTATCATCTATCGGTCTGTCTGTCTGTCTGTATATTCTTGAGCATTAATCCTCTCCCTGTGTGTAGTGTGCATCACCCTGTTACAGAATCCTCTTACCTGGTGGGTAGATCCCTTAATACAAACAAGTGCTGATTGGCATTAGTTATAAAGTTGCTCCTAAGCATCCTTCATTCCCATAAGTATATGATTTTAAACATTTCATTGGTTATGAGCCCCTATAGAGCATCAAGTGTAACAAATATTCTCTCATGATGCTTTGTCATTTTGTATGTGCTTAAAGAAACCTCTAGTCCCAAAAATAATATATTTTTTTTGTGGTACTTATTATTACTAATAATAAGTA